CAGCTGTCGATGTTGCTAGGCCGATATATTTAATTTTGGTGAATGTGCAGCTTTTCTGTTCTCACTGTTTGAATCAGGGAACTGCAGAGGGTATGGAGCCCGACGGTGCTATCTGTGTTTCTAATGCACTCGGAATGCTCCAGAGAATTCCGACTTTCTGTAGGTTTGCACCGTTTGTTTCGTAGTAAATATGAATGTACCAGTATTGATACAATAATACTGACACAGGTGTCTTCGTCCTGGGCCAGACTGGGAAGGTTATACCAGTGTCAGTGCTGGTTAGGGGTGTGATGCCACGAAACACAGTAAGTTGAACTGGCACAAGCTGTAGACGTGTGTGTAGTTGTGTGCATGTAACTGTGCAAGACACACTTACTCCTTTCTTACAAAAGATTAGTCAGGCAGTAACCAAAAGTAATACCTTTTACAAAGGTCTGTGCTGCTATGAGTATATTTACACTGAGTTATTCTCTAAGATATTATTAGTTGAAATCTTTTGATTTGCGTATAACTGAAGGGATGTAATTTGGATATAGAAGACTACTACGAGTTCAGCAGAGGTTCTTAAGATCTGGAATGCTAGGCTTGAATTTTTTTTATGTTTGTGTCCTTTTCAGCACTGGCACAGCTGAGCTAATCATAGCATCAGGACTGTGCCTGGGTCAGCACTTCAGTTGTTGGTAGTATCTGAAATCTCTCAGAATGACTCAGTGTTTTATTCCCGTGCTTCCAGTATAACTGGTGGAGTTAAACAGACGGTAACAGGAAAACTTAGGAAAGCAATGAAAGCATAGCAGAGGCTAGTTACAAATTTAAAGAATGGAATGATGGGATTTATGTAAGTCATAAAGCATGCTAACTGTAAACAATATAAACTTTAAGGTCCTGTGAGCCTGGTTCCCTTAGGAGCCATATCAGAAACTCAGAGGCAACATAGAATCATAGAATGGTTAGGGTTGGAAGGGACCTTAAAGATCATCCAGTTCCATATCTGTATAGTAAACACGGTCAAGGTTGTTTGATCCTGATATGAACTGGGCTTGACTCGAAGTCCGTTCTGAAAGACTTTTCCTTCAGGAGATTCTTAATAAAAACCTGTCAAAACTGATTTATGCCTCTGTGGTGGTAGGGAAGGTTTGTGAACCCCTCGTGGTAGTAAACCTGTAAGTGGCTAGTCCTTTGTGCTTACTCATGGTTTTTTGGTGGTGATCATTTGTGTGGAACTATTTAGTGTTAGTGGCTCCTGTGACCATTTCAGAACCGGTCGATAACAAAATGCTTCTCATGCAGCATTCTCCGGTGTTTTAATTATTTTTAGAAGTTCTTTATTAAATTCCATTGCCAAGATGTTTAAGGAAATTCAGAGAGCCTGTAAAACACTTTTCTTAATCCAGTAAAATTTCTCTGGTGCAAATGACTTTCTTTGAACAAAAACATTGTCTAGTGGACAGCATAGTTATTTCGATCCTTGATACAAAATCCAACTCCTGTTTCAACAAAGTATCGTGAGGAAAAGGAAACGCAGAGATAAGTCTCTTTCATTTGCATGATCTTCTGTGCTCAAGTAAAGTCTTAATTACAGTTCCTTGTGTTTGCAGCTGGAGAGGAGCAGTGATAGAACCTGACCAAAGCACTGAACCTTCGTCTAGTAAAATAAAGGAACTAGAAAAACCTTCATCTGTGGAAGCTGAAGACCAGAAGGAACCAGGTAAATAGTGCAGTTTCTTTCTGTTCACTTTTGTGGCTGAACTTGTGCAATTTCTCCCCACGCACATTGATTTCATTTATTTATTTATTTAAATTAAAGGAAACAAAATGTGTAAGAGAGATTATTTGCCAGGAACATCCGAGCCTTTCAGTTTCCTTATTGCACCACGACAGCCTTCACTTTTATTGGCCTTCAGAATTTGAAAATTGATTTTAGTTACAAATCTTTGAAATACAGCCTCTGGGAGGTGGCAGGCATTCCCACCTTTCCTCCAGAAAAGGATAGGCTAAAGAGAGAGGGCTTGAAAGAGACAGCTTCCTTTTTCAGCAGTGGTTTTCCTTTTGTTCTGCAAATACAGGGAAAGTGACTTGCTCCCTAAGCAGAACTATTTCTAAGGCTCACCAGAAAGCTTTGGAAGTTGTTTTTGCAGTTGCTGTCCTTGTAAAGAACCTGTTGTTCTGCTTTCTGGGTTCCTAGGAGGAAGTTCTGGTGTGATAAACGTGGCATATTACAATGTGGCGCATTTGGCTTTTGCAAGCTTAACACATAAGGGGTTAGATACGTTGCTTGCTGCTTCCTACTCTAGCAATCTTTGTTTGTAATTCTGCAAAATTTCAGCTAATGGGCTTGAAATTTGTTATGTTGGGTTTATAACAGAAGCTCAACTTTATGGCAAATTGCGAGCAAAAATTTCAGTAGAACCATGGAAAAAGACATGGCTTTGCCCAAGATGGAAAATGAAAAATTTCTTCCTTTTTTGTATTAAATAAAAAGTTAAAGAGAAATAATGCTGTATAACTGATTTGAAATTTAGCAGAAAGCAATGAGTAAGACAGAGATGAAGAAAAGATGGTATGTGGTAAATTAGCCGAGGATTGTGTTGTTGAGCATATGTGTTCAGCAGCTGAATTACGATTGATGGAAGCAATCCTCCTTCTGGTACTTCCCGACTCTCAGGTCTTTGAGCTTTAGTGACACTCATCTAACTATTGTGCATGGGATTATTTTCATGTTTTATTTTCAGGAGCGACTGGTTTTTTTTGCTGGGAAGAGATCTCTGTTCCCACCTGGCTGAGTTGCTGACCGGAAAACACTGACTGGTTATTCCTCAGAGGAAAGACTGTACTGAAAAGAATAATCTAAGGATGTTTTTTTCATTCCATTTATCATTTAGTTTGGAAGAAGGTTTATTCTGGGTGTAATGCAGCAAGATGGCGTTTGGTGGCTGCGTAAGACCTGTGCAGAAGCCTTGCTCAAGGTGCTGTTTCCCTTCCGCAGTGCCCATAACCGAGCGCCAGGCGGCTGTGATAGAAGCGTTCCGCCACGCCTGGAAAGGATACAAGGATTTCGCCTGGGGCCACGATGAGCTGAAGCCTTTGTCCAAGTCCTACAGCGAGTGGTTTGGACTGGGGCTTACCTTAATTGATGCCCTGGATACCATGTGGATTTTAGGCTTAAAGGAAGGTAATTTCTTTTCCTCCTCCATTTTTTCTCCCTAAAATAATTCTCTCTTTTCTCTTCAGGCACTACATGTTCAGGGTTCTTTGAGGGGAACAGTTATTACGTGCAGCCAATAAGTTTGATTTTCCTGTGAGGGTAAATACATATAAATGTAAACAATATCTACAAAAATAAATATATAAACCCCCACAACTATATTAAAGGGCATAATTTTTCTTCGAATAGAATTTTGAGCCAGAAAGAAACCTCCACTGTTCCATATAACAATGCTAGAAACTGAGGAATGTCTTAATGAGCCTCCTGATTTTTGTTTCTGCACCAAGACCCCAGTGCTGTCTTTGTGCCACTATACAGCCACTGCAGACTTTCTACCCATCAGTCTTGGGTAGTTAGCCTGAAAGCTAGGTTATGCTTTATCATTCCCAGTATCAGTATTTCATGTCTGGATTTAAGTAGGTTTCTGTAAGGAATCAATGGGAGGAGGTTCAGTAGTTCCTTCCTGAACTGCTCTGCTGTCTGTATTTTTTCAGTTATTCCCGAAGTGACTATATTAGAAAACTTTCAAATAGATTCTAAAACCTAAGCCAAAAATTCTGCAATTCTGTTGCAAAAAACCTTGCTTAATCAGTATTTAAGAGTTGATATTTTTATTTTTTTTTTGTGGTGCAAGGTTTTACTAGTGGTATAGAAAAATTTCTGGAACTGTATCTGTTCAGCCTTGGTAGATAGCCACCTTTGTAAACTTATCAATCATGCCGTTTTTTGTGTCAAGATAGGAAGAACAGAGCTGCCAGTAAAGCAACAATAAACAGTGAAAATCTTTCAAGATTGTCTCTTCTGCCTTCGAAGTTTGTGTAAAATATTAAATCAAACAAAAACTCCATATCATGTGTTTGCAGCTCTAGGCCTGAGCAGACTATCTTGAAGTTTCATCAAGTTGACACTGTGCTGCTTCCTTTTTGTTTTTCATAAAAAATTAATGGTTAACAGCATAGAGCTTTTAAAATAAATTATTAGTAATTTAGATGTGTTGAAAATGGGTTCTTGGTGAAGGCTTCTTCGTATTTCACAGCAGTTCTTTTGCTGATTGCCTTAGAAAGCTCCTGGGCTTTCTTCTGAATAACAAATGCTGTATAAATGAAAGTTCTGTTTGAGGTTTCCAGTCTGTCTTACAAGCTGTTGAACGCAAAGGCTTCTGTGAAGGAGGACCCTGCCTTTTCTCTCGTGCTGCTAGATAGTGCTAGCATCTGTCAGCAGAGAGTTTTCTGTGGTTCTCAGTCTACCCAACATCCAAGACGTTTTCTCTTGTGAGAACACAGAGGCATTCTTCTGCTTTAATCTCCTGTGGAATGCCTTCAGTCTCTGGCAGACTGGTGGTTCTGCTGTGCCTGCTCACAGGCAGGAGTTTCGGGAAGGTGTGAGGTAGCTTAGCCTTGGCGGTTAGAGGCACGAGCGACCTCGCATGCACCGTGGAGTTAGGCCCTGTGCAAAAGCAGTCATCGAGTGATGCTGCTGCTAAGCAGTGGCTTCTTTTACATTCCTTTTTGAACTAGTAGTGTGATAAACCACCGTTTTTGTTTCTGGGGAAAAAAAATTATAGACCGTCAGGATTTTATGAGTTAAGTGCTGCAGTAGGAGGCAGGCTCCCCAGGCTAATGGCTGTTAAGTGAAAATGTTACCTGTTGTCTTGTAGATAACAGCTTTGGTTTAAAAAGATTTAATTAAAAAAGCTTAGAATAGTCTTGTGGAGACTCTTGTGGTCTGACAAGTCAAATGGATGGAGGTGAAAGATCTCAATTTCTGGACTATTTTAATAAAGATTTCCTCAGTTTCTTCTTTTCTAATTCTGATAGGAACTCTTTATTTTGCTGGGTGTTTCTCTCTGTATGCATCTGTGGTGCGTGCTGAACAAGAATTAAGCCAATGGTAGTCAAACTTCTCTCAGCATATGCTCTTCGTTTTCCACTTAGAACGATGATCTCTGTTGACAGATATAAGTAACTGTCATGGATATACGGAGTGCTGATGTCTCTAGTCTAGTTATTGGAACATGCCAGAAGTTCATAACTGAACTACCTTTTATACTTTGCAGAGTTTGAAGAAGCAAGAAAATGGGTAGCAAACGATTTAGTGTTTGATAAAAATGTGGATGTGAACCTCTTTGAGAGCACCATTCGTATCCTGGGGGGATTGCTGAGCACCTACCATCTGTCTGGAGACAGCCTCTTCCTGGAAAAAGCTGTGAGTGACTAGTCTTACAGATGAAACGACATTGTGTATTCCATATTGGACAAAGATGAAGGAAGATGAATCAGAAAGTTAAATGTTGCTGGTTTTAATAGTTTCATATTTAAAGTGAGGGGAAAGAGATTTACCATTAATCTTCTGAGCTTGCACTTGTGTTTGCTCTCCGGATAACCACAGAGCCCTGCTTGCTTTATCAGGTACATGCCTGTTCTTCTGTTGGTGAAAAGCGGGCCGTAATAACATTCATGAAATAAAAGAGGCAATAAATGATTGGAAAAAGAGTAATAGTTGTCTTTTGTCACCCTTTCTCTGTACCTTGACAACATCAGCCACCTCTTTAGATTAGCTAGGTGCAGTCAGTGACTTCAGAATTACATCAGGCAGCATAGGGACTGCAAACTCACAGGAGGCATGCCGTGCTGGGAACAAAGTGGAAACTCTGTAGTTGTTACTATGAATAAGTCCGTGACTCTTGGGTTTCTTGCACTGTCTAAAACCAAGCTGCCATTCTCTTTTTCTCTCTGCTTGGTGAACAAAAATCTAAAGGGATGGGGTGTGTGTATATATTTATTTTTTGTTTTGTTTGTTGTTTTGTCCTGTGGTCTTGGGTTTTCTTTAGAAAGACATTGGGAACAGGCTTATGCCAGCATTCAAGACCCCCTCCAAGATACCGTATTCTGATGTCAACATTGGCCGGGGCACTGCGCATCCACCTCGCTGGACATCTGACAGCACTGTGGCAGAGGTGACCAGTATTCAGCTGGAGTTTAGGGAGCTCTCTCGTCTCACTGGAGATGACAAATTCCAGGTATGGAAGAATCAGTTGATGTTTTTCTCTTGTTCCACCTCTCTACAGCACCACTGCTGACTGTTCAATACACGGGTCTCTGTAGTCTCTAAGTGATGTTAAATCAGTTATGAAACTCTAGATGAGGGAAGGAACAAAAATAAAAGTAATTCCAATTATTTTCTTAAATATCAAAAAGGAGTAGTGGAGGTGAACAATTACTTTTCTTCCTCAAAACCAGCTTTTGATTAAAAAAAAAACAACCCAAAGACCAACAAACCAAACAGCAAAACCAAAACAAACACCACCACCCCACTCCCCCCGTTTTTATCCTTGACGTTTTTGTTTGACACCAGGTTATCAGATTTTGAAAAAACACTGAGCTAAACAGGGGACCGTGAAACTGCCTTGCGTAATGTTGTTGAAATTCTGCGTGTGGTTTCTTCATGCTGGTATCTAAATGCAGAGAACAAAACCTTGGTGTTGCCATCCAAGGAATTGAAATACAACTCACTAGACAAGAGTTTGACAGCACGTCACAGTATAAGGAAAAGGTAGTTGAAATAAAAATAATTCCAGAGAAATGAATGTTTTTCACTCTTCTTTTCGTTTGGCAATGTTTTATTGTTTTAAACTGTATCCACAGCTGAACTTTCAAAGAGTGAGTCACTTCATTTACTTAGAGAAGCTTGATTCTGCCCCTCTACTCAGCTCTTGTGAGACCCCACCTAGAATACTGTGTTCAGCTCTGGAGTCCCCAAAGCAAGAAGGACATGGAGCTACTGGAGCGAGTCCAGAGGAGGCCACGAAGATGATTCAAGGGCTGGAGCACCTCTGCTATGAAGACAGGCTGAGAGAGTTGGGGCTGTTCAGCCTGGAGAAGAGAAGGCTCCGGGGTGATCTTACTGCAGCCTTCCAGTACCTAAAGGGGCTACAGGAAAGCTGGAGAGGGACTTTTTACAAGGGCGTGTAGTGACAGGACAAGGGGCAATGGCTTTAAACTGAAAGAGGGGAGATTTAGGTTAGATCTAAGGAAGAAATTTTTTACATTGAGGGTGGTGAGGCAGTGGAACAGGTTGCCCAGAGAAGCTGTGGCTGCCCCATCCCTGGCAGTGTTCCAGGCCAGGTTGGATGAGGCTTTGGGCAACCTGGTGTAGTGGAAGGTGTCCCTGTCCATGGCAGGGGGTTGGAACTAGACGATCTTTGAGGTCCCTTCCAACCCAAACCATTCTATGATTCTATTCTATGATTCTAAGTTTTAGCTATCGCATGGTTCACCTAGTTGTTATTTTAGCTGGGCTTCTACTTTGCAAATTTAAGTCAGATTGCAGTCCCACGCCATGGTACTGGCTTTCAAGTGGGCTTCCTTAGAGGAAAGGAAATAGTTATAATTATTTCAGAGTACTTAAATGTATCCAGAACATCATGTTTCGAGAGTCAGAAAGTTTGAAATCCTGTATTTGACATATTGCACGAGCTGAACTTGATGTCCCTGATGCTGATTTGAGGAAGAAGAGTTAAAGATTTGGTATCGGGCTGAAGTTACTAGACACAGTTTTGTGCACAATTTATACCTGTAATTTATGTTTGCTGTTTTCTTTCTTTCAGAAAGCTGTAGATGAGGTGATGAAGCACGTTCACACCCTCTCAGGGAAAAACGATGGACTAGTGCCTATGTTCATAAACACCAACAGCGGGCAGTTCACTCACCTGGGTGTCTACACTCTGGGAGCCAGAGCTGACAGCTACTATGAGTATTTGCTCAAGCAATGGATTCAGGGTGGGAAAAAAGAAAACGAGTAAGTTCCTTGCACTTGTCATAGCAGTGGGAGAATTAGGCAAGCTGTAAAACTTTCTGTTTGTGAAATACTGCTAATACTTCATTTCACAGTGCTGTCTGTGTTTTCTCTGGGTTTGTTACAGAAAGGTGGATCCTACAAGATGGTTGAGGAGGGAAATTTAGTGCATAAGGAATAACTTTTCTTACAGAGAGGAGGAGGCTGAAGTTTGATGTTTCTGTTAACTTTGCTTTAGGTCTCTTATGTTTCTCTTATCTGCGCTGGTTAAGTGGAAGAGAATGTTTGCAAGGAGCAGAGGAATTAGAGATATTGGAAAAGAAGGTTGCCTCCAAAACAAGACAAAAAATCCAAGCATTTTTTTATCTGCTTGTAAGCTACTTAAGTTGTACTTGTTTGTGTCGAGGGTTTTAATGCATACAGAGTCACGACGTGCCTCTCTGAGGCGTTTCTTGATATCAGAGCAGGTGCATCTCTGTAAAGAAAGTTTGCATCACTACTTTTTCCAAGGCATTGTAAACAGAGAATCCTTGTCTCTGAGACCATGAAGGATGGCATTTTTGAGCCTCAAAATGGAATTACTCAACAGGATTTTTTCCACATCAGAGTGCTTTGAAACAAGGGAAATTCCAGTGAAATAGTGTGAAACAATGTTGGGTTGTCAAACATTAGAAAGATTGCTCGAAGTCATTGAATCTCCATTTTTGGATGGAGTTACTGAAAAATTGCTCGGATGAGTCTTCATGGCAACCTGATCTAATTGAATCTGCTTCAGAGCAGAGGGTTGAAGTAGAGACCTCCAAGAGGTCCTTACCAGCCTAGATTTTCTGTGATTGGAATTAAGGGATTCCTGAAGTAAAGGCTGATTACTGCCTAGAAACAGAGTTGGGGGTATGCTTTGTTTAATACTTGAATTTAGGGTTCACTTGAAAACTAAGCCAACTATTGCTACATGATAGCAATAACTAATTAATGTCCAGTTGATGGTGACTTTGAGGGTTTTTTGTCAGTTTTCGCATTTGGTTAAATATTGTTCTTTAGACTGAAATAAGACTCTCACAAAGGATTGTGCTGAACAAAATGTGTTCTTAGTGCGTGTTTGTGAGCCAACTGGGAATGATTTTTAATTCACAGACTGTTGGAAGACTACATGAGAGCCATAGAAGGAGTGAAAAAGCATCTTCTTCAGAGATCACAACCCAAGAAGCTTACTTTTATAGGAGAGCTCGCTCATGGCCATTTCAGTGCCAAGATGGTAAGAAGTACAACTGCAGTTAAAAAACCAACAACGAAAAAAAACGGAAAAACCACTACCAGAAAAACCCACCAAAACATATGGACAGGCAAATGCAAAGCTTCTATACTGTCTTTCTCCCTTCTCTCTCCAAAGAAAAAACACCAAACCAACAAAAAAGGCCAACAAAACAAACAACAGAAAGAAAAAGAAATACAAAAAAAAGCCAAGACTATATCTATGGCCAGTGTGATGGCAGTACCGAGTAACTAGTTTGTAGATACTACTCACCTGTGCAAACCAGGGCCTTTGCTTTGAGTTACTCTAGTAAATCCATTTATGTTCCTGTAAGATTGAACATTTTGGTGCTGGAGTAAAATTTTCTTTCTTTTTTTCGGTCACAAAATTCCAGTGGCTGAAGCTGTTGAGGCAGTGCCTATTTTATGTATCACTTCTTTTCCATAATTGAAAAATATCTGGGGACATTTGCATGCCTAGCTTGTCAGACTTACCTTCAAAAGAAGTAGGTGATCTAATATTGTGTTACTGGGTCTAAAAAAAAAAAAAAAAAAAAATTGATAATTTTGGAGGGTTCTGTCCATTACTGACACTTGTTTCTTTTCCTACATGTAGGGTTATTGAGTACGACAGAATGCTGTTTCCTGCAGGGAAAACTGATTGAGCTTAACTCCCTGCTCTGAATTTGCTCATTTGTACTCTTTAACATGCATCTTTCAGTTAAAGGTCGCGTTCAAGTGCAAGTTTTGTATGTATGTGGGGCTTTTTTTTTTTTTTAAGAGGAGTAGTGTATCATCAGTGCGTAGCCTTACACATAATTTTTCAGTACATGAAGTAAGCTTTAGTGAATTCTTTGACTTACTCGGTTTCCTGATGTAGTGTTTTTGAGATGTTTAGTTCTGGTTTTCAGCACATACTCTGGCGTCTGGATTTCCCAAAGGCTCTCCAAACCTGCTTTGAGTGACACCAGTGTCCTCTGTTCCAGAGATTTGGTATTTAATCAAGTATTATTGGGTGAAAGGCTTGTCGGGTATCTTACCTTGGCCAACTGCAGAAGTGGGTGATGTTCGTCTCCTATGTCTGGGTTGACCTTCACCACCCTCAGCCGTTTCCTTTAGGACTGGACAAAGCTTTTAAATGTTGGTACAGGTGCTGTTTGTGCACCAGAGTGTTTTTACTGCGTTGTGGGTGATGAGACCTGAGCTTTCTTTTGGATCATTTGAAATTCCATATGTGGCACTGATCTGTAATTCTTACATTCCCAATATCAGTGGTGGATTAGCCTCTGAAGGAGGACAATCAATCTTGTATTGCAAATTGAATTTTGTTGGAGATGAGTTTTTGGCATTTTGTACGATCTGTTTTCTTCAATGTGTTCTTCAACTGACTTTGACGATTGAGCTTTCTTGGAAAGTTAACTGAATTAATCTTGATTGATTACAAATATTGCTCAGTTCTTGTAGAAATACCACTCTTCTTGCCCTTTGAGCAAATTACTTGCTGCAGCAAGTCAAAGCTAAGAAAGAAATGTCCTTGCAGTCCTTTCATTGGTACTGCTTTGTCGCA